CCCCCCCCCCCATGTGCATCACACTGACTGTGCCATCAGTCAAGGGCTGGGTTCGAGATTCTTTCAATGGGTCAGAGCAATGGCACAGCAGTATGCAAGCCCTTGGGAAGTCAGGGTTGCTCAGCGGGAATCCTGTCCGTGGATTGTTGCTTTGTCTTAGGAGTGTCTCCCGTGGAAGTGGCAGGACTCTCGAGTAACTGGATGCTCCCCACCCCACCCCACCCCCACCCCCCCAGGTGCTGCATGTTTTTCATGTGACTGGACTAGGTCAGCTGAACCCAGTGAACCCACCTCTTAGAATCATGGAATCATAGAGAGTTGGAAGGGGCCATAGAGACCATCTAGTCCAACCCCCCTGCCCAATGCAGGACCGGCCTAAAGCATCTCTGACCAATATTCGTCCAGCCTGTTCTTGGAAGCTGCCAGTGAAGGGGAGCTCACCACCACCTCCCCAGGCCGCTGATTCCACCTTTGAACCACTCTGACCGTGAAAAAGTTCTTCCTAATCTCCAGCCGATACCTTTCTGCATGTAACTTAAACCCGTTGCTTGGAGTCCTGTTGCCATTTTGTGCACATTTTAAGCCAGGGAGGTGAAGGCAGCGTGCGTGGTTAAACTCCTCTGTCTTATCCCCACAACGGCCCTGCGAGGTTGGTTAGTCAGAGATGGTGATTGGCCCCTGGACCCCCCCCGTGGGGATTCGAACCAGGGTCTCCCTCTCCTAAGCCCGGCATTCTCTCTGCCGCACCACACTGTCCCTCGCCCTTGTTAAGGTAGGGTCCTGGGACCGCTTGGAGGTCCATCCGGGGCTTCCCCTGTTGTGTGTGTGGGACGCGGGATCCCGTTCTTGAGCCACTGCCGCTTGGTCCTCCTTTGGGACACCAGCTGTGCTCTCTGCTCCCGTTGGATCGTGACTCAGTGCTTGGAGGAGGGGGGGGGGACTGTTTGCCAGGGATTCAGCCCTCGCAAAGCCAGAGGTCTTCCACCAGGAAGCGCCCCAGTGCGTGATCATCACGGCTTTATGAATGGGGTCACTTTTCTGCAGAAGGTGACCAGCCCCCAGCCCCCCCCCCCCCCCGTTCTCGCATGGTTCAGGCTTCTCATCCTTCCTGTTGCCGTCAAGGCTGATGGGACTTGGGTTGTGCCAAGTGTAAATCTTGAGGAGGGAGGGGCTGCGGCTGGCTGGGCAGACATCTGCTTGGCAGGCAGGAGGCCTGGCGGTTCAGTCCCTGGCATTGCCTGTTAAAAGATCTCAAGTAGCAGGTGCAAGGAAAGACCTCGGAGCGCCACGGCACTGATCTGGATGGGTCCGTGGTCAGAGGCTGGTGCCTAAGGAGCCGCCCTGAGTCTCCCTCTGTCCAGGTGGATTTGGTGGCAGTCGCTCCAGCTGCAGCTGCGTCTTTCTCTTTTTGCAGACACGGGCCCTGGAGGGAGCCGGTGAACCCGTACTACGTCAACACAGGCTACGCCCTGGCCCCGGTCACGAGCGCCAACGACAGCGAGCAGCACAGCATGTCCAGTGATGCGGACACCATGTCCCTGACAGACAGCAGTGTGTGAGTGCCCGAGGGGACTCGCGGGGGCTCGGCTTGATCCTCAGGGCTTCCAGGGGGAGCGGCGGTGGCTCCCGTCCACCTTGCACGGGGAGAGGGCCCGCCCTTGCTTGACCCTGGCGGGGGGGGGGCTGGGGCCTCATTCAGATTGCCCCGCTGGGCAGAGGGTGAAGGCACCCGCGGCACCCTGCGCTGAAATGCGGCAAGGGCTGCTCACGCAGAGTACCCAAGAGGGCACTGCCCAGAGAGGGAAGCGGGGTTGTGTTGGCTTGCTGCTCTAGAAACCAAGTTGCGTGAAGGGGACCCTGGGACTTAGAGCGCTCCACTCAGAAACCTGCCAGCCGCTGAGAAAATGGAGACATGTCTGGGTGTCATACTTCTAGATTAGTCTGCTATCTGGGGGTGGGGGTCCCCCCCCCGGAACTCCTTCCCACGGCATCCAGAGGGCACTGAGGCTGCCCTGCGTGGGGTGCACAAACCGGCGGTCAGCCGGAAACGCCTGGCTGGGTGCCGTCCCTCAGCCGTGTGAGGGCGTCTGGGCAGGGCTCATAAGAACATAAGAGAGAAGCCAGTGTTGGATCAGGCCAGAAGCCCCTCCAGTCCAACACTCTGTGTCACACAGTGGCCAAAAATACCATCAGGCACCATCAGGAGGTCCAGCAGTGGGGCCAGGACACTGGAAGCCCTCCCACTGCTGCCCCCCCAAGCACCAAAAAGAGCATCCCTTGCCCCAGACCGAGAGTCCCTGTCTGTACCCTGTGGCCAAGAGCCACTGATGGGTCTCTGCTCCAGATGTTTATCCAATTCCCTCTTGAAGCCGTCTGTGCTTGTAGTAGCCGCCGCCACCCCCCGTAGCAGGGAATTCTGTGTGTCTATGTGTGTGTGCCCCCCCCACTCAGGTGTCCCTTGGGCCCCCTCGCCACGTCTGTTGTCTCCGCCCGTAGGAGAGCAAGGTTCACAGATCCCTGGGGCCTCCCAAGGCGGAGAGGATAGCTGCCAAGTCTGCTGGGACAGGGGACAGCCTTTGTGTCGCGGCTGCTGCTTCTGTGTGGCGGCCACCTCTCGAGGACCCCGACGGAGAGCGCGGCTGCTGTGGTGCTCCGTGCCCGGCCTCGCCTGGAGGTGCTGCTCAGGGTCCCTCTTCCATCCATCCATCCTTCCTTCCTTCCTTCCCTCCTTTTGGCAGAGACGGGATCCCGCCATACCGACTCCGAAAGCAGCATCGCAGAGAGATGCAGGAAAGTGCCAAAGCAAACGGACGTGTGCCACTACCTCACATTCCTGTAAGTGTCGCCAGCGCCCCCTTCTGGGCAGGGCTGTCCCTGAGGCTGGGAGGGTCTTGAGGCTGGAGACTGAACTCAGTGTTTGTTTGTTTGTTTGTTTTGGGGGGGAGGGGCGTTCCCCTGATAGACCTGCACCAGTCTTTTCCTGAAATCAGTGGAACCAGTTTTGTATGAGTGGGTTTCTGAGCGATACCAGCTGTGATGACAGAGGATGTCTGAAACGGGCGTTCAGAGGCTAGCCCTTCATCAGCTGGATCTGCGTGGAATTTCCACATCTGTCTCTGAAAACAGGACACTTGAACGGAGTGCTGAAAGAGCACCCGTTCCGCTGTACGGTGACTGGTTGTCAGTTATCTGGTTAAACGTCTTTAGAGATATGTATTGGAATTCTTAATCTTGGTATTGCATAAGTATCAATAGTCAAATACCCACAAAAATTTGTTGCAACATTTGCATTTATTGATTATAAGAATACATGATTTTATAACTTAGTACATTTTCACGGCATGGGTTTTTTGTTTTTTTTTAGGTAGCACCCCCTTCTGGGCAGGGCCGGGCTTGTCCCCGAGCTGTAGACCAAAGACTCGGCAGGCTCCTAGCGGCTGGTCTTGTGGGGAGCTGCCCAAGTACTTTTCAGGGAACGTCCTTGAGGTGTAACGGGGGGGG